CATACCCCTGGAGAAAAATTTTAGCTATTGTAAAAAGGGGTGTGACATCTCCCATACAAACCGAATTTTTCATACTGCTTATCTCTGGAAATTTTTTGGTAGAGTTCTAGAGTTTTGTATGGAGATGTACGAAATAAATCGCATACTCTTAGAGAAAAATTGGAACTATTGGAATAGGGGGCGTGGCATCTATCATACAAACCGAATTTTTCATACTGCCTATTTTGGAAGTGTTCATGGTAGAGTTCTGGAACTTGGTATGGAGATATACGAAATCAATCGCATACTCATGAAGAAAGAGGGCATATCTTGGAAAGGGGGGTGTGGCACCTTCCATATAAATCGAATTTTTATACTGCATATCTCTGAAAGTATTCATGGTACAGTACTGGAACTTCGTATGGAGATATGTATATAGTTGAAATCAAGCCCATACTCATGGAGAAAATTTGGGCTATTCGAAAAGGAGTGTGAGGCCTACAAACGTACCGACCTTTAGCTATCTTTGAATGAATTTTTTTATTCTTATGTAGGTGAGTTTGTGAGTGATCTCCTCCTAAATGGTTGTACGGATTTTAACGAAACTTTTTGTGTATTTGAGTGGGTCTCTGGATGGTTTAGTTTCACAATTTAATCCGACAGTTGGCGCTGTATTTGAGTTATTACTAAAAATCTTATTTATGATCCGATTTGGCTAATGTTTTAAATATGTATGCAATACTATTGCAAAAACGTGCTGCCAAGTGGTGCTGAAGTCGAGCTATTACTAAAAATAGCCAAGTGAGAAAAGGGGCCGTGAAGGTCAGATTAAATCAACCTGTTGCACCATTGGGTATATCGAACGCTCCTGCGTTGCGATTGGCCCAATGGATGTGATTTTCCAATATTATTATGCGTTCAAACTCTTAAGGTATTTCGTCTGAAATAAGTATATGTATATTGCATTTCTGTAGAACAATGATTCGCACCCATTTTGAAATTGCCACCTACTATACTGTAAAGCTTCTAGGACATTCACTATAGAACCGGGTCATTGTTGCCGCCAGGGAGTGAAGAGGAAAAAATTTATATCGCTTTGCGAATAACCGTGCTATGAAATGCCGCACAACTGGAGAATTTCAAGAACGGATATAACACTTTCCTTAGGTTATTTAAAGCGGCAAATGACCACCAAACCTTAATCTTAGCAGACAAATGTGCCAATGAAAATCGTAAACGTGAATTGTTGGTGAAAATGTTGGACCAAAAAGATTCAATAAAATATATAAAAATTTTGGGCGGGACGAAGTTCGCCGGGTCTGCTAGTAATTGTTATAAGAACATAAAATAACAAAAAACAAATAACTTAAGGACGAGCACACCTAAAAGTTAAACATTCTAATAATAGAATTATTAACAAAAACCAACAAAACCAACAACCACATGATCAAAATTAAATAGCACTGAAACCAGTGTTGCCGTTTTAGACCTTTGGTGGCTAAATTTAGCTACCACATACTTTTTTTGGCCACATAAATTTAAAATTGCCCCTAGCCCTTTTTTAGCCCATTTTAGAATTTATTCATACTTGGCATGAAAGCGTTGTATATGCTTAATTTGTTTTTTTTTGCAGTCATGTAAGAGATGAATTTTTAAACTAAGAAAGACTGATATATATACATATATGTATCGTATGCTCCTTACGCTTTCATCCATACATACTGTAAAAGTGTGGGGCTGTTAACTTATCTGTTAACGATTTAACTATAGTTTAAAATAGATAAGTTCACGGCCCTTAATATGCCAAATTTGTTAAACGACCCATCAAGTCGATTGACCGTGTATGTTCTTGTGGTGTGATTGTACCGGCATACTGGTGTCGTGAGTAGTGAAATTAGCTCAATTTTCTAAGTAAAAAGTATTTTGGCGAAAATTTCTTGCCTTATATGAGTCAAAGCCGTGTTTGTGGAAGATAACGTTCACGATATTGCAGTTGTGAATTACAAAAAAAAAAACAATGCTTAACAAAATGCTAGAAAAATTATGAAATTTCGGCTCTAATCATTTCGATCTTTTCTCAACCTCATTTTTAAAGAAATAAATATTGTATCAGCATGCTGGTAAGTTATGTGCTTCGAGCCTGATGGTACAATCACTTGATGGAACCACCAAGTTGGTGTCGTATATTTCCCCTTTTATACAAAAAGGTTTTTGGTTGGATAAAATATTAGCTTTTTTTCAGTTCATTGTTTTTATATACCATTACTTATTGAAAATGTTTACGTATATACTTATATATGTATATGTAAGTAACAAATTTTAGCTACCATTTTTAGCCACAACGATTTTTTTAGCTCTTTTTTAGCCCTTTTTTTAAGGAAATCTGGCTACCACTAAAAATTATTACATTATTACACTGACTGAAACAGCTGCGCTTGATTGTAGATGGCTTAACGAAATGAAATAGTGGAAAAAAGCATTAAGAATTCACAAGGCGAACTTCGCACAGTGCGTAGGCAACTGGCTGAGTCAGTGGTGATGTGGTGATGTCCGAAATAGCTAGAAGATTTTATTAGAGTTTTGGATTACTCTTCCACCCATTCCCGAAATTTCAAAGTTTGAAATTTTTGTTGGGAGTTTTAATCGATTTTGTGCTTCTGCCGAGATAAAAATCTTTGTGAACCTTGATCTATTAGAGCTCTAAGCTTAAATAGTTCTCCTCGGTGTTCGATGGAGGTAACTGCAGTGGGAAGTAAAATGTTGCTTTCATTGTTTGAATGCAGTGCTTGTACATTTGCTGCTTTTGAACAGCATGATTGCTCTTGTGTACTTATGGGGTCCTGAGTTTTGGGGTCTTCGGGTCTAGTTGTTGCCGCTAGACCAATAGTTCTAAACAAAGCAAAACAGACGATAATTTGACACAAGCGTGCTCATAAGAAGGAGCATAGCTTCTATCGCTACCACCTGTAATTGATGCGCCTTGATATGCACGTATGTATGAACGTATGAATATTAGTTCGAGGTGCACATGATGGGAACCCAGAAATTAAATATGC